AGTGCCTCATCTTCATTCAGTGGTGCCTCATTTTCATTCATTTGTGTCCCATATTCATCCATTGGTGCATCATCTTCAATGTTTACAGTCTCTATTGTCTCTCTTGTATTCCCTTCACTGTACTTAAGCAGGAGAGTTGGTTCTTCATCCACAATCAAATTTCCATTCACATCAATTGCAATTAAAGGTTCTCTGTCATTCTCTTCTGTATACAATGTTAGATGCTCTATGTCTTCATGTGCTGACACTAGGAATTGGATACTAATATCATCTTCAATCATCCTCAATCCCTCATGAAGTGATAGTCCAGGATAAACAAAGTAGAACTGAATATTAGTTTTTTTCCCCCCACTCATACGATATATCTGGTATAGGTTATCTAGGTTCATGTAGTCTAAGCAAATTCGATCCACCACTTCCATTTTGCCACCTACATAAGCCAGTTTGGGTGTATGGACAAATTTACCATTCAACCAAATAGTAACTGTACACAACTTGTTCATTCTGCATAAAAAAATGGTACAAACTGTCAAACACAATTGTTCAATTAATTATTATTATTACTTTGCAAGTTCACCAACAAAGTAATAAAGTGCCCTACTTCTACATACCCCACACCATTTTTTTAAAGTTTTCAATTCAAACAACAAGACAACAAAAAATGGTCATAAAAAACTGATGCCAGAAAATAATTAAAAAAACCCTACAAAGCAAAAAATCTTGTTGTTACAGACAAGCAAACAAAAAAACAGATCCCCACAAAATAAAATATTAAATGTAGCCTTTCTCAAAAAGTTCCCAACTCACGAATATAATATACAAAACCTTACAAATACAAAAGCCTACATACTTTAACATTCCCCCAACTCTAGTTACCGAGAAAAAAACACAAACGAGACAGAATACTACAAACCTTAATTCTTGTTTCTCTTCGTTGCGAATTGACTCCGTATCTCAAATATGACTTCTTGGCGCCTTCAATAGACGAGAGGGGAAGCTATTTCAAGTTTCAATCGACGCAAACAGCATTTTTTCACAAGCAGATTCACAATTTTTTTGGGGAATCGTGTTTTAGGGTTTTCAGAGGCAGGTGTAAATTGGGAGCGAGAGTGAAATAGGTTTATCGAGATAGTGAAAATGGGTTTACTGCTGTTTATTTCATTGAGGGGTATAATGGTAGTTTCACACGCGGTCAATGTTTAAAAAAGCAATGGGTGCGGTGAGCTTTGTAATTCATGACACAGGGGGGAGTTGGTCACATTTTTTTCCACAGGGGGTATTTGCCAATTAGAGATTTCACAGTGGTAGTTTTTGCAATAAACTCTAATAGTAATAGAGTAAATTGAAGATAAATTGTCAGAAGCTTCCTAGTTATGCAACCATTGTCTATTGATATTGAAAAATTGGGTCAAATAAATTATAGAATAAGTCAACAAGAATAAATTTGAGACAACGAATTGATCCAATAAAAAATTGACAAAAAAATAGCAAATATTTGGTTCAAATAGTAAAGTATCGGTTCCTACTACAGGTAGGACTTGAAATGAGTCAACAACTTCATTGGACTTATATCTATAAGTTGATGCATAGATAATAGAAAATATACATAATAAGAGTAGCAAATTATAAATCTGCATCTTGTTTGCAACGGCAACTTCATCGTTGGAGTTATATCTACAAACTCATAAATGGATAGTTGAATAATATAGAAAACAATAGTAACAAATTATAAACTCACATCTTATTGCAATGTCATATTTCTTTCCTCCATAAAGCCTCGATGCACAGCTTGTAACGAATTTATCAGCATTCAATTTTTTATTAACTGCATACGTTAAGAAAAAAAAGAGCAAACTGAAATGCGAAGAGTTATTATAATAAGGAGCTGATGAAAAGCTAAACTTAGTTCAACTTTTCGTGCATATGTAGATAAAAAACTTACCATGTATATGTGTTGATTAATGGATCTTATTAAGATCATCTGCGAAAAACCAAAAGGCCCGAAAATCGCCCAGCGGCGGGCCATCCTGCAGAACCGGCGCATATCGATCTTTCACGCTTGCCACCCCCCGACTTGTTCCTTCTTTTTACCTATGAAAAATGTCGAGGATATAACCATTAATATTCCAACAGAAAAAAACGAAAATTCGCGGAAGCAAAGAATAACAAAACCTCAAAAAGAAGACATGCAACAAATGATGGAGAAAGAAAGGGCGGTGGAGTTGTGCAGGCAAAATCTTTTACTTGTTAATTTGTTTTCGTTATTAGTGAAATTTTTATGGTCAAAAGAAGGTAGCATGTTAGTAAGCACCTAAGACCTATGTGATCACGAACTCACGGATAAGAGACAATATGAGGGGAATTGAGGAACCAGTTACTATCCTCCTTTTCCAAAAAAAAGATGACATCTTTACAAATTATATATAAAAAAAAAGTTGATTTATCAATTATGTAACTTATTTTACGATCAATTTCGTATTGTTTTAATTAAGTTAATATAATCATTTTACGAATGAGTTTGGCTATATATCACATATATATATATATATGAATATTGATCTTCATAAATATTCCTAATAATTTTTATTATAATAGCGTAATGTATTTAATCATTTTTTTCTATTTTTGAAATATTATCATGTGCATCGCACCGGAAAAAATATTAGTATATATTAAATAGTTTAACAGACTTAATTGCATATATATCCAGATCAAAAATAGTTCCGTCAAAAAGCACATGCACTTGTCTTTTTGCTAAACATACCCCTCAAATTATAATTTGTATCAATTTCACCCATGAAATCCTAACTTAACCGATATTAAACATTGACCCAATTTGTGCATTAAACCCATTTTCCCATTTTTTGAAAAACATAATTTAGAGAGTAAAAAAAAAATATGAATTATTTTTCCTGTCAGTCCCTACATTGATTTTTTATTTAACTTTTTGGAAAAAAAAAATCGGGGAACTTTTTTCCCGCCGTCCGATGATGATCGTTTTTGTTTTTAAAACAATTTCAATTTTTTTTCCCGCCCTTGACCGGCCAACACGGTAGTCTTACTTTATCACATAGTAATAATATTGTGTTCTTAGCAATATTAATTTTTGTAACTTTATTTTCTTTTTATTTTTTGAACGACCAGCACAATAATATTTCTATCTAACACGGTAATATTACAGTATTAACAGTAATATTTACTTTTAATAATAGTAATATTAACACAGTAATATTACTGTGTTAACAACAATGTTACTGTCGGAGACAGTAATATTCTAATTCAACACAATAATATATTGTGTTAACAATAGTATAATTATATGAAACTGTAATAATTCAATTCAACACAACAATATTACTGTTAACACATTAATATTATTCTTAACACGATAATATTACACTGTTATACAATAATGTGGCAGTCAATGCAGATCCAACAGTTGGAAAAAATGCAGTTTTTGGGGGGAAAAAAGTTAACGACAAAGAATGGCATTGAAAATGACGGTGACAAGAAAAACATTGAAAAGGAAAATTGGAAGGAAAAAAATAAAAGTCAACCCCAGAATCCGGCGGTCAACCACGAAAACCGTCGGTCAACGACGGCGACAGTCAAAATTGGTAAATTAGTAAAATTGAAGTTAAATCATGGTTAAAATCATTAAATTGGAGATAAATTAGGGTTTCAAAGAGTTATGAATAATTTTGGTATATACGAGAAAATTTTCTTTAGTAGCAAATAAATGTTGGATGGGTGGATATATTTTCCCAAATAAAAAAGTAGGATGTCCATTTTAAAAAACGGTGTTATTTCCACCTTCAAAATCTACTCCACCACCCTTTCTTACCCGCTTAATTCTCATATACTCCAACTTATTTTCCTTGATAAAAAGGATTTTTTTTTTTTTGCAATGAAAGCTTTATTAGAAGATAATTAAAATTCCATACCATATGACCTGCAGATTATATAACTTGTGGTAATGCAACATAACAATTTCATCCAATTTTGCACAACAAAATTGTGAAATTCAAAATTTTATATAGTTAGCCGACAGTAGATCCTTCCTAAAATTAAACCTCAAGGGGTAAAACAAGATTATAATAATCGTCCAGTCTGAATCAATTTCTAGGCGGATTAAGCTAAATGAAATGTTATCCATTTTTCACATTTTAATCCATCGAAAACAACAATATTAAAAATCTATCTTTTTGTATTTTTTGTTATTTAGTTTCTACAAGGCGCTCTTAATTTATTTATTCGATAACGTGAATTCCTACTCTTTTTAACTTTCAGATGTTTTTCTCTAACTATGGTATCGTTCACTTAAGGTGGAGAGAAAATGGGATTTTATCGTGAAGATTCTAGTGGATAATGGTGGAGTTTTTTTTTTTGTGAATATTCTAATTAGTTTGGTGGTGGATAGTTATTGGATTTGTACAAAATGTGTGAAAGAGAAAGAAATGGATAAAATAAGAAAATATTTAATTTAGTGGTGAAATAAATTATTTTAAAGGTGAAAATACCATTCTCAAAGAGTGAAAGAAAATATATTTTTCTCTATTCTTTATTTCCCTCATTATTTTGCCAAAGAATACCAATATCTTAGAGAATACTCCATTTTTAAGATAGAATATTCCGTTAGATGTTAACGAACTGTTAGGGTAAGGATCACATAGTGACACTTCTAGGAGATGAGGGATGATATTTATGCATTTTAAATGTGAGGGACTAAATTGAGACTAAATATATATTTGAGGGACTGTAAAAGAGATTTGGCCGTAAAACTAAATTGTAGAAATCAAATCTAAAGACAATTGTGTTGAACATTTGATCATCAAATGGCAAACTATGTAATCCAGTGCACAAACTTTAGAGAAGACAAAGTATTTACAGTTAAACCTCTATAAATCAATATAATCGTGACTAGCTAAATTTTATTAAGTCAGCGAAATATTAAATTATCGAACTAATAATTTAGTAGATTTTTACTGAGTCGGGACCGAAAAAAAAATTATTATTTAAGCGAGGTTATTAATTTATCAACTATTATTTTACCGAGGTTTTACTGTAGTTCAGTTCTACCTATACATTTCCCAACATAAATTTGCACCAAATCTATAAACACCAATCATCAAAACATTATTCCGAAAAAAACGCACTCAAACAAACGTCAATTTAGTCGCCATTATCGTAATCATATCACCATTTTTTTTTGGTTCTAACGAGAACCTTCAGATCAATATTTCTTGCCAAACATGATAACCTGCAATTTGTCATAGCCAGCAAGCACACCGGCACCTGCGACGGCTCTTAAGATATTTGCTCCAGCGCCCTTAAATAGCGACTTAGTTCCTTCTTTCTTAATGATTTGTGAAAATGCGTCGATCGAGCTCTTATATTTGACTGCTTCGCCTGAAGTCATCATCATTCTTCTACGAACCGTGTCGATTGGGTAAGAAACCAATCCAGCACCGATAGTTATACCCCATCCCAGCATAAAACTAGCCAAGAAACTATCCTGCATATATCAAATATAACACACTTCTGCATGAATTATAACATATCATTTTAATTGAAAATAAAAAAGTCAACATTGTTAACCGACAATCCAATGTCGGTGAATGGCGTCAAAAACAGTATAAGAAAAAAGTCAATGCCGAAAAAAAGTTTAAAAAAAATCAACGACGATCATAGGTCAGCGGTAATGGTGGTACAAATCGGGGTCGTTTGTCAAAATTTATTAAATGATTAAATTGGGGTTAAATTAGGGTTGAATAAAATTTTAGGGGTTTTAGAATATTTTAAAAGAATACAAGGGTCTGAGTGCAATTTTCTGAATGAAAAATCTCAAATTCAGCCATAATTTAACAATTGACCGTTACTTCTTGACGGTCAAACAGACGGAGGGACTCAATGTGTTAAAATGTGACAACATTATTGTGTATTTTGTTGACAGCGGTAAATGAGAGACCAAAAGTGAAAAACGTGCAAAATTGAGGGACCAAAACTGTAATTATCTCGCTAAAAGAACTACCCATGTTATTTTATTGGCAAAAACCCCCCGATGATTCATTTTTTTTTAACTAATTAAATAGTAGGAGAGTTTTTGCAATAAAATAACATGGGGCAGTTTTTTTAGCAATTTAATATAACAGAGGAGTACTAATTAATTGCAATCAACTCCTAAAACAAATCCATCGTTGGGGGTTTTGGCTAATATTTATAACACGAGGAGGTTTTCAGCAATTCGGTATAATACAGGGGTACTAAATGCAATAAACTCTTATAACTGTTAGAGAATATTATATTATAGAACTCTTGTAATATTAGGATTCTAGTATGATTCGGTTACCTAGATTAGTTAGGATTTAGTTACCTAGTCAAACTCTATTACCTTGCAATATTTCTCTATATATATTCCATGTAATCAACCCATAACATAATGGGGGTTTCTATTACGTAATATTATTATTTCTCTCTTTCTCCTTCTTCTATTCTTCCTATATGGTATCAGAGCACCAGGTTTTTTAACCTAGCCGCCTTTCTTCTCTATGGCGGTGACCACCCAATTTTCTCCCTCCCCGGTGGTGGTACTCTAATATTTTTTCTTTTTCTATCTTTTCCATGCACATCACCCGAATTTTTTCCCTCCCCCGGTGGTGCATCTTCTATATCTTTTTTCTTCTTCTTTTTCTTCCTCTTCTCTTAGCCGCCTTTCTTCTCCATGGCGGTGACCACCCATATTTCTTCTCTTAGCCGCCTTTCTTCCCCATGGCGGTGACCACCCATATTTCTCCCTCCCCCGGTGGTTCTCTATCTTCTTCTTCTTCTTCTTCTCCTAAAACCTAGCCGCTGCCTCTCTTCTTCTCCATGGCCGGCGACCCCTCTCATATCTTTTCCCCCTCTCTCTCTCTCTCGATTCATACACACACAAAAAAAAAAAAAAAAGGAAAAAGTTTTCTTATTTTTCTCCCAGCCGTTGTTATTATTATTATTATTATTATTATTATTTTTAAAATTTGGGCAGATATTTCCACAGAGGAATTCTCTAGCGTTGTGTTTCGCTGTTTCTGTCCAGTCTTCACTTTTGAAGTTTATTCGTTCCGACTGCGGAAGCGTGCCAGCAAGTGATTGTCCAGTCTTCACGTTCGTCACGTTTCGACTGCGGGGGCGTGTTAGAGAATATTATATTATAGAACTCTTGTAATATTAGGATTCTAGTATGATTCGGTTACCTAGATTAGTTAGGATTTAGTTACCTAGTCAAACTCTATTACCTTGCAATATTTCTCTATATATATTCCATGTAATCAACCCATAACATAATGGGGGTTTCTATTACGTAATATTATTATTTCTCTCTTTCTCCTTCTTCTATTCTTCCTATAATAACATCTAGCGTTAATTTTTTGACATAGTTTGAACACACAAGTAAAAATAACATAAGGTCAGAATTACCAACCTCAAGTGTACCGATTAGGACAACGGGTTTGAGGGAATCGTACATTCCGAAATAAAGGCCGCGGTAGACTATAATTCCAACGACAGAAATGTTAAATCCACGGTAAAGTCCAGCAATACCATCAGATTTAATTGTTTTTCGATAAACATCGATTAAACCGTTAAACTGCCTTTCACCGCCCTTTTTTGCAGCCTTGGAATCATTTGCCAAACGGGTTCGAGCATAGTCGATCGAGTAAACAAATAGTTGAGACGAAGCACCAGCGGCACTACCAGATGCTAAATTTCCGGCGAACCACTTCCAATATCCGTCTCTGTCTTTCTTGAAGTTAAAAAGTCTCTTGAAGTAATCTTTGAAAGCAAAGTTGAACGCCTGCAAACACTCACAATATATCACTTTTCGTCACTTGGGCACCACTAGATCATGAGAAGATGTTGTACTGAAAAAATCTTGATCATTTTTAGCTCGGGGTGGAAATTGGAACGGAATTTCCGATTTCCGTCGATTCTGATCCGAATTTTCTCGACTTTGTAAGAAAAAAATTCATTCCGAATTCCGAAAGTTTGAATTTTTTTTTTTTTGATTTATTTGAACGGAATTGGAATATATATGAGATTGCGATTTCTGGTCCTATTTTAGTTTTCGAAAATTACACTTATAATATCAATATTCTGCATTTTATATTTTACATAACTAAGAAAGATCAAATTTTCCGAGATTCCGATTTTCGATAGGATTTTAATTTCCGAAATTACACTTATAATATCAATATTATAATGCATTTTATATTTTACTTAACTAAAAAAGATGGAATTTTCTGAGATTCCGATTTCCGATCCGATTCTAATTTATGAAATTGCACTTATAATATCAATATTACAATGCATTTTATATTTTAGGTGACTAAAAATTTCAAATCCCATCAATTCCAACCCAAAATTTTCCGATTTTGGAACGAGTTTCTTCAATCCAATCTCCGAATTCCAATTTCAGATTTTGCATTTTTTTTTATAATGTAATTGGAAATAGTTTTTCACTTTCGAGAAAAATAGCATTTTTTTTTTCCGAAAGTGCTAATTCCGATCTCATCCGTCTGATTTCCACCCCTAGCTTTAATACGCATGACTTTGGTAAGATTATATCGTATTTCAGCAAGAAAAAAAAATAATAAAACGAGACTGAATATACCTGAGTAGGGAAATATCTGATAACATTTACAGTGTTGCTTCTCCACAAAGAAAGCACACCTTCATCCTTAACAGTTCTTGCAAAGCAGTCGGAAATTCCCTTGTACGGTTCAGACAACCGACGAGCTCTGATCAACTCGTCTTGGTTTTGGATCAACAGTTTGACTCGCTCGATCGGAGCAGCCGCAGTCTTTGATACTGCACCGGAAACCCCTCCCATTAGAAAATCCACCATAAAACCCGAAAACCCGTTTTCTTTTTCCGCCGGTGCTTGTATAAGGAAACGGGAAATCGGTTCCATACCGGTTCCTCTGAATGATGGCGATGGAATATTCCGCAATCCTCCGTTGACATATCTAGAGTTTGCGGGAGGAGAAATACGAGAAAAAAGATTGGATTGACGATGAATCATTCCATATGTAGACAGATGTTGCACATTGTCTTTCATGTTTTCCGTCAATTCAGCGACCTGCGGATATTAATAAACTTGAAGATACATACGAATACAACCAATAACAGAGTATTTTTGTCGCAACAATAGTCACCGTTTCATTAACAATGCAAACGTAAAAAGTTCGAATCTACCGAGAATTCAACGAACCCCTAATTTATATCATGAGAATATCTGAATTTTGCCATCCTCTTAGATGTATCAAATGTGTGAAGACAATCATACAAAACCAGGACAAAAAAAAATGATGATGATTTCAATAAAATAAAACAATGAAGTAGTTAACTTCATTGTTCATGTCAACAGTAAATTTGCAAAAATTAAGTAAATAAATAAAAGGGTAAATTACACTTATACCCCTGAGATATGCTAAAATAACTTTAAAGTCCCTGTGGTATTGGTAATTACATCCACACCCCTTAAACAATTACCGGAGCCAAGATTTCATGTCCTGGGGATCGATATGCACTATATTTGTTTCCCACCGGGCCGTTAATGCTAGCATAGACGAAAATTTATAAATCTTATATAAAATAATAAGGATTTAAGAAATGTTAGGATAGCCATGTCATACCCCCTAACTCTACGTTGTCTCCCCTATCGGCTAAAACTAATACTCCGTTAGAACCCTAACAGAATAATTTATCTAATGTATTATTCCATTAGGGTGTTCCAGCAGTAATTGTAATTATCGATACTATAGGGGCCTTAAAGTTATTTTAGCATACCTTAGGAGTGTATGTGTAATTTACCCTAAATAAAATAGCAAACTGGAAAATTTAACTCGATCAACCATCCGTACCATTTAGAGAATCAAATATAGTAGTAAATAATTTCCTGCAATAAAATAAAGAATCACCAAAACCCTAAGTTAATCAAATCAACTGAACTCAAGAATCTAACATACACCTCGACAAAATTAAGAAGAAAGAATCACCAATTTATAAACAAGATATCAAAAAAGGAATTAATAAATGAAAATTCATAGTAAAAATCAATACCTGAAAAAGTTGGGTAAAAGAGGAAGAAATTTCTTCAAAGTTGGCAATTCAAACAAGTAATTAGAGCTTCAATGGTGATCTAGAAATGGAAAAGTCTTAGTTGCACAGTTAAATTATAGTGTAATTAGTTTGACAGGGACTGGGGGGTAAATAGCATAAAACCCCCTTGTATTATCACAATCTTGCACCAAATCCCCATGTGCTCTTTTTATTGCGTAAAACGCCCCATGTGTTCATTTTTCCTTGCATGAAATCCCTATTTCCGTTAATAGTTAACATCGTTAACTAAATAGGGGATTTTATGCAAGTTTTTTTGTAATATACGGGGATTTGGTGCATGGCTGTGCACACATGTGTCAATGCAAAGTTAATTTATTCATTGAAAATTCAAATTATTTTCTAAAATTAAGTCGAATACATCAATTAATTTCAAATAAAAACTAAATATATATTTTTTATATTGTAACTGAATAAATATGTTTTACTTAATTAAAGAAAATCATATGGCATTTAAAATAATGACTTTAATTTTGTATAAATTCCCCTTATATTGTAAAAAGATATGCACTGAAACTCACCAAAAAATTGTATAAAATCCCCTCCATAGTTAACGGCGTTAACTTTTAAGTTTTGATATAAAAGGAAATTTGGTGCAAAATAAAATGAAACTCAGGGGAGTTTTATGTAAGAAAAATTAACACATGGATATTATGTTGTTTACCCGGTCAAGGTTTTGGTGATGAATTACATTTCATCAAATGGGACCCACCGTCCCTTTGCCATTAGTCAATTGCACGAGGGATCTGAGAAGCAGCCTTTGTTATATTTTAAATAGTTGGTGGTGTTGCAAATACACTTATACAATAATTTATTACAGATATTCATTAACTCGTGTGTTTTTAACAATTAAAAATTCGCTCCCGTTTGATTAAGCTTATTTTAAAACGTTGATAAGTTCTTACGTAAGTTGCTTCATAAGTTGATAAGTTGTTATTTCTTATTTTTAGAATTAATTTTTAAAGTGTTTGAACTATGATCTTATAAGTTAGTTTTACTCATTATATAAGATCTTAAAAAAAATCATATTTGCTCTCCGACACTAATTTTTTGAATCTTAAAAAAAAAAAAATCAAACACTTTAGAAGAGCATATAAGTTATTTTAAACATCTTATAAGTTTAGTCAAACACCTAATGAGGTCAAGCTCAAGTTTGTCGAATTAGAACGAGCTTTTATCGAGCCAGTTTACTGGGCTAATAAACCGGCTAATTCTCATCTACACCCATTTAAACCAAAATAACTTGAAATTATTCAAAACAAAAGCTCTCTAAATGAAAAAAGAAAATTACTCAAAAAAAAAAAAAATGTGAAAACATTTGAATTGTCAAGTCCTCTAATTTGAACTTTGAATCGTCAAGTTCTTTAATATGAACACAATGCAAGTTAATCTTTCTTTCTTTCTTTCTTTTCTTACTTTTCTTTTCCTTTTTTTTTTTTGTAAATCAAGGTACTGTGCGTAAACCTTATACTCTCGTATAATAAGCAATAACAGAGTATTTTTGTCGCAACAATAGTCACCGTTTTATTAACAATGCAACGTAAAAATTCCGAATCTACCGAGAATCCAAAGAACCCCTAATTTATATCATGAGAATATCTGAATTTTGCCATCCTCTGCTTAGATGCATCAAATGTGTGAAGACAATCATACAAAACCAGGATGATGATGATTCCAATAAAATAAAACAATGAAGTAGTTAACTTCATTGTTTATGTGATCTTGATAATAAAATGATGATGATTCTAATAAATTTGCAAAAATTAAATAAATAAATAAAAGGGTAAATTACACCTACACCCCTAAATATGCTAAAATAACTTAAGGTCCCTGTAGTATTGGTAATTACAGCCACACCCCTGAAACAATTACCGTAGCCAAGGTTTCATGTCCTGGGGACCGATATACACTATATTTGTTTCCCGCAGGGCCGTTAATGCTAGCATAGATAAAAATTTATAAATCTTATATAATATAGTAAGGATTTAAGAAATGTTAGGATAGCCATGTCACCCCCTAACTCTACGTTGTCTCCCCCACCGTTTAAAATTAATAGTCTGTTAGAACCCTAAGGTCCCGTTTGGTTGCCAAGATAAGCCATGATTAACTAAATAGCTGAATTTAATTTCATGTTTGGTATCCTCAATAAATTGCCGGGTCAACCCGCCAAAATTATATAATCATGGCTTATCTTGCTTTATCTTGGCTTATCTTGCCTTCTAATGAGTTTTTTTTTTGTTGGACGTTTCAAGCTCCAATAAAATAATTAGGTTCATTAGATTATTTAAATTTATCTTGTCTCTAATCTTATCTTGCCAACCAAACGGGGCCCTAATGTATTATTTCATTAAGGTTTCTAACAATGTTCCAGGAGTAATTGTAATTATCGATATTATAAGGACCTTAAAGTTAATTTAGCATACCTGAGGGGTGTAGGTGTAATTTACCTAAATGAATAGCAAACTGGAAAATTTAACTCGATCAACCATCCGTACCATTTAGAGAATCAAATATAGTAGTAAATAATTTCCAGCAATAAAATCTGAAACTTCGCTAACTGAAGAATCACCAAAACCCTAAGGCCCCATTTGGTTGGCAAGATAAGATTAGTCAAGATAAGATTAAATAATCTAATGAAACCCAATTATTTTATTGGAGCTTCCAACGTCCAATAAAAAAAAAAACTCATTAGAAGGCAAGATAAGTCAGGATTATATAATTTTGGCGGGTCGACCCGACAATTTATTGGGATACCAAACATCAAATTAAGTCCAACTATTTAGTTAATCATGACTTATCTTGACAACCAAACAGAGCCTAAGTCAATGAAATCAACTGAACTCAAGAATCTAACATACACGATCGAAAAATTAAGAAGAAAAGTTTGTAAACAAGATATCAAAAAAGGAATAAATGAAAATTCATAGTAAAAATCAATACCTGAGAAAGTTGGGTAAAAGAGGAAGAAATTTCCTTAAAGTTGGCAATTCCAACAAGTAATTAGGGCTTGAATAATGATCTAGAAATGGAAAAGTCTGAGTTGAACAGTTAACTAGAGTGTAATTAGTTTGACAAAGACTGGGGGGTTTTGGTGATGAATTATATTTAATCAAATTAAATGGGGCTAGGGTGTAGTAAATCGAATCAATCGAATAAAATTCGGTTTTCATTAAATGAAATTAGCCCTTTTGGAAAAATTCCGAGTTTTTTCAGAAGTGACAAACTAATTCGAATTAGGCTCCAAAATTTTGAAAATAAGAATTTTGGAATTGCAATGAAAAAGTTGTTCTAGAATTGGTAAATTGTGGATCGGAATTGACGGAATTCGCAAATTTCCATTTGTTGTCATCTAAAACCTAAAATACGTAATAGTATAGGTGTTTAAGTGTAATATTCTGGAAAAATCAGGATTTTCGGAATCTCGTATATATTCCAATTATAAGATAATTTCGAATATATATGGGCGAAAATTAAAAATTTTGTTCTAATTTCCACCCCTAAATGGAACCGTCCTTAGTCAATTGCACGAGGGATTTGTGAATTGTGAGGCAGCCTTTGTTAAATAATAAAATAGTTGGTGGTGTTGTAAATAGTAAATACACTTAATATGTAATTATATACTCTATTTGTTCTATAATTACTGTCTTCTTTTTAAAATATGTTTATTTCATATTATCTGTCATTTTAGATTTTCAATATTGCATTGAATGTATTTTTCATATTTAACCTTATTAATTCAACTTTAAGCATAAATTATCTCTTATGAATCATTAAATGATGGGTAAATTAAAACCACCCCTGAGGTATGGTCAAATTACGAGGAAAAAAAACCCTCGTGTTTTGATAATTACATCTACCCCGCAACTATGAATCTTCTTACACCTCCCCCCTTATGGTGTCAAATTCAACATAATCATCTAGATTCCGTGGAATGTGATC